GTTGAATGCCATTGGTGAGTCAGGTGAAATTGTTTATGATTAAGGTGTGAATTGTGTTTAGGTTAGGTTGAGGGTCAGGTATGTACCTGTGAGGTTAGGAGAGTAATGGTGCGCTCACACCGAACGCGTTTTGAGCAGCAGGTTTTCATGCAAAGTCCAAGGTGGGCGTGGGTCGGGAAGTGCTGCGGCACATCTTGCGCGTTAAGTGCAGCACGATTTGAGAGGGTATTTTTTTTTAGCAATTTTAGCATTCGATGTGCTTGACGTGCTTAACACAGGAGTTGGAAAATCTGAACTTTTGCAGCTCGTTGCGGCGTGTCAACCAATCAGAAAGACTCCACTGTGTGATGCAGTGACACATTTTCCAACGGAACAGTTTCCTGAATGATGTCCACTAACCTGAGACAGATGGACAGGAGCTCCTTAGCTGAAATCGAGTGCCAGTAGTTGGTGTCTTGGCAGGGGATTTCAGCACCGATGCTCATCAAACTGAGATCGGGACAGAAATAGTTCTGAACGCGAGCCTCGTCAGAGAGATGAAACTCACCAAACCTGAACCAAACTCAGAACGTCTCTGAATTTTCTGGTGAATTAATTACGAATTAACTAATTCGTGAGCATGACGTGCTCTTGCTCTCAGTAAATAAAGCAAAGCCACTTTCTTTATCATGACCCCCACACGCGAAGCGTAAGCGGGAGTTACATTGTTTTCGTCCGTTTTTTTTTTTCAGTGATTTTTTTCAACCGTAGCACAAAAACAGCTGCACCAGTCAACATGAAATTTGGCAGGACTGTAGATGAGTCCGACCTACACTGCGCCAGCCAACAGTTTTACGATAGACCCCATATGTGAGGAGGGGGCTCCTTTCAAAGAGGTGGTGTCTGGACGTGCAAAAATGCTTATAACTCAAAAACTGTTCAACATAGAAGCTTCAGATTTCTTTTGTTGTTTATCTCTGATGAAGCTCTATCCATCAGGCCCACCAATCAGTGCCCCCACCACCCCCCCGGACCCCCATTTTTTCTGAAAAAGGGGTGTCTGGACATACGGTGTCGTTTTCATATTTTTTTCGCTAAACTTAATGTCTATGGGGCCATCTTTTTCTTTCTAATTTTGTCTTTGTCCCCTGATGTACTGCTACGAAAAGTAAGAACAGATATTTTCTGATTGAGCCACATATTTTGATGTTTTTATACCAATTTATCTGAAGATGTGGGCGAAATATTGACTMCCAAATGTATAACGGAAACAGAAAAATGGCCTGCGGGTTTTACTTGTTTCTCTGCTCCATCACACCTGATGTGAATGAATGGGTGATTATTAAACCTCTGGAGAACTTGAAGAGGTGATTTAATCACTGAATCAGGAGTGTTGGAGCAGAGATAAAKRTAAAACATGCAGGACTGCAGTCCTCGAGGAGTCAAGCCCTGGTGTAGAGGGTGAATACGAGGCAGGTGTTTAAAACATCTGAGAGAATCAAACTAAAGWTGGATAAATATGATGGGCAGTAAATAATCAATGCTTTTGTGTTCTTTTCACATCTTTACTGAGTCACAGCTCCAACACATTTCACCAGGAAGTGACACAAGAGGAAGGAACACAGAAAAAGGGRGGCATTTCACAGAAAAACAGTTCAGTCCCTGCAAAAACGACTGTAGTTAAAAACGAGTGGTGTACCRAAAGAAGAGATGATGAAGAGTCTTATGAATCATCTGACACATAAACGATAGACAACCCTGGCTCTCCTCAGGCAAAGTCCTCCTTCTCTCTCTCTCTCTGCCGCTCTATGGCCAAATCAACAGACGGTACTTCTTTCACCAGGCAAGCTGAGTTTTTTGTTCGTCCTCTGGCGCCCCCCCAGTGGTAGTTTATGGCTAACGCAGGAGGCACGGGTCACAGTGACACTGCAACGAACAGGGATGAAACAGAGTGGAGAAAAACTGCTTCCTGTCACAATAATCACATTCTGAGGCTCTTTGAAGGTTTCACACACAATTTGATCATTTCTTTATTGCATCGTTCATTCTCATGACAAAACTCTGCCACACCAAAAGTTATGCTGTGGCGCCGCAGGTGTGTGCGACTCAGCTGTTCCCAGACACTCAGCAAAGCCATTGATTGGTCCCGTCAGCCTAACACAGAGAGAAACAGGGATGTTCATTTCTGGACTGCATCCAGTTACTCTGTGTCTTCACCGCCGTCAGCCTCGGTCTGTCTCCTGCCAGAGTCTGTGGCTGACAGCAGAGAACTGTTACCCCCCTGACCTCTGACCCCAGAGCCTAGCACAGGTCAGACACGTAGTCGAAGTCCTTGAAGAAGTCCTGCTCCTTACGGGTGAGGGCACGGCGCTCGCGGGGCGGTGTAAGGGTGGGCACCTCGGTGGTGAACTCCGAGTCAAAGTTGCTGACGTCATCTTTTGCTGCGATGATAGGAACAAAAGGGGGCGGGACTTTCCTCTGAACTAGGCCCTCCCAGTCCATGCTCTAAATGATTACATGTAAATATTTATTATTAGTGGTGTAATCAGGTGCATTCAAAATGTACATTCAAAACTRAAACACTCACTCTGAAAAACGGTTGCTTCTTGACATCCTCTGCATCTTTCTCTCCAGAGCCAAGACGCCTCTCAGGATTTCTCCTCAACAGCTAGCGACAATAAAAGCACAGCTTTTAACAGAAGACAACTTTACTGAAAGACAAACTAAAAGTAAACTAGCAGCAGGAAGTAAACCAGGTGGATTTCTAACCCGTCTCATGATGCCGATGGCCTCGGTGGAGAGGAAGCGCGGGTACCGCACCTCGTCATTCACGATGCTGTCAAACACCTCCTCTTCATCGTCACCTGGGAACGGAGACTGAAACAAACAGAAAGTCACTTCCCACCAGCAGGTCTTTGTTCCTGTACGAGTTTGTTAGTTGAGTTTTGGAATCGATTAATTTTTCAGTCCGCTATTCTTTCAGAATATAATGAACTTTCTACATTTCTACAGCTAGCTGATAACAGTGTAATGCAAAAGTGTCCAACTCAAGGCCAAAGAGCCAAATGTGGCCTTCTGCCACAGTTTATGTGGCCTGCTAGAGCTTCWAAAGTGTAATAATGTCTTAAAATAAGCTGCATAAAGCCAGCACTGACAATAAACTACATCTCCCATAATGCATGTTGATTATTTTATCCACAAAATGATGACATTCCTCCAYTAGGTGGAGGTGCACAGGGTTCAAAAAAGCTGGTGTAACATCGGTAGCCAACAGCTGTGAAATTTGCTGTGTAAAATCTCCACTTCGCTGCATTTTCACCAGCTGCTTGCTGAAGCCCAAGTCATAAATTTCAACTGGATTGCCACTCCAGTGGGAATTCCTTGTCAGAAAGTGGGAGAGTTCTGAAATTAAGATGGCAGCTACTCACCACAACTCAACAGTGAGTTAAAGTTTCTTACTTTACTTTTAATAGTATTTCTGTATTATTTATTTTACACTTTGTCAGTTGTACACATAGTACTTTTCAGTGTTAAAACACCGTTTCTATAMAGGAAATACCAAGTAGAGCTCAGTTAAGTCCCCTCTCCACAGGCGTGCCTCCTTGGTTCAACCTTCAAGGTGGTTCTAAGTGGGTAGAATCAAGTATTGTGCGCTTAAGATTTTGACGCCAGCAGACCTCTGCCTGTGGATTAGCCAAGCCGAGGCAGAACTCGCAAACTCTTGGAGAGAGTTGAAGGAGACGAGCCCTTGCAGCTTGAGCTGGACAGAGCCRTCTGAAATCAGCAGATATTCTTGGAGGTTTTGGACCAACTGGCCACCCACGGTTACACGTGCAGTTATAAACAGTGCTGCGGAAAAAAAAGTCAGACTACCGCACGATAAAACAACACACCTGAGCAGAACTGAACAAACATGAACTGAATAGAGTGAGACTGGACAATGGAGGCGGGGCTTTATTGTTTGTTAGCGGTGCTCAGMCGTACCAATGTGAGGAATGTGACGTTTTGTCTTTCATCAAAGTTAATTACAGCTGGCCCTTTGAAAGCCACCATAACRCTCACGTGGCCCTCAGTGAAAATGAGTCYGACWTCCYCGATTTAATGCATAAAGTGACAGCAGTGTAGCCCTTAGCACTATTTCTTCAAACTTTAGCCACTCAAAACAATATTTAAAACWGGTAAGATATTGATTGTTCATAACTTTTTCACAGAACCCCAATTTAAAATGTTCAAACTGTTTGTGGAGGGTTACAGCTGCGCTCCAGTCTGCCATGCGGTCCTGGTGGGAGAGTTAAGTTAGAACACGGCTTCCTGTTTCCAGTCTCACTGGCTGCTGGCTGCAGCTTTAAGTTTTGTGCAGAAATAAAAGTCTCATGAACCTCCACATTTCGCCCTCTACCAGAATATCGGAGTACATCATTCCCTTCGCTCTCACCTCTCCCACCAACATCTCATAGACGAGCACGCCGAGCCCCCACCAGTCAACCGCTCTGGTGTACGACGTGTCCGTCAGCACCTCCGGGGCCAGGAACTCCGGCGTACCACAGAATGTGCTGGTTCTGTCTCCGTAACCCATGCCTGGAGAGAAAACGGCTGGGATGAGTGAAAAAAAGACGATGGCGGAGCTTCAACTCGTGAAGGACACAGATGAATAAAACTTGAGCACCTACCTTCTTTACAGAGGCCAAAGTCTGCAATCTTAACAAAGCCCTCTGTGTCGAGGAGCAGGTTGTCCAGTTTCAGATCCCTGGTTAAGAAAAGGGGGAGTCGATGAAGAAGATAACACGTCTGTAGGAAACAGCTGCAGGAGGTCTGAGAACTCACCGATAAACAATCTTGTGCTCATGAAGAAACTGTAGACCCAGGACCACACAGGCTGAGTAAAACCTGCAGATTAAATGACAGAGAACTTTACTTACGCTCCATTAYATTAATATCATTTCTACACCGCAGCTCTTTGTTTCTTCAGGACTCACACGGCGCGTGGCTCTGCAAAGACGTCAGCGTGAATGTGCATCATCAGGTCTCCTCCTGCTGTGTACTCCATGACGAAGCACACGTGCTCCGGCGTCTGGAAACACGCAAACAAGTTGACCAGGAAGGGATGGTGGGAGCTGTTGACGGTCTCAAAGATCCGCTTCTCACACATGAGACTGAGGGGACAGAAAGGTGGGAAATGAGGTGAACGGGCTGTAGGTTTTTATTTTTTTCTTTGAGGTCTTTGAGGGGTTTACGTTTAAAAGCGTTACCTCTCTACCTCATCCCTCGCCACGATGTCGCCCTTCTTCAGGGCTTTGATGGCGTACAGACTGCCCGTCTTTTTATATTCAGACAACAACACCTAAAGAATGAARCAAGTTCTTGAAATTAAAACGCTAACATGAAAAACAATAAAAATATTGTTTAATGTATCAAGTAGGTCAAATCAGATCACATTAAACTGACTGAAAATATGTTGAGTTTTTTGTTATCTATATTGGGCTTTTTTTCATTTTGTAGGAAAAACTGAAYATTAAGTACCTTCCCAAAGTGACCCCTGCCAAGAACGGCAACCATCTTGAAATCCTGCAAGGACAGAGGGCCTCTGCTCGCTCTGAGAGAGAAACATGTCACAAAACAAAAAAWGATGACATTACGGCCTGGTCTGCACTTCGTTCTGTTCTGTTTATATTTTCTTCCTCTCTCCAAGCATTTGACAAAAATGCTAAAATACCCATGTCTAGCCTGGAAAAAACCAGCCCCTTGTTCTCCGCTTTGCTTCGTACAGACGGTCTGGACTCTCGGCTATTGAGAAGCGATTGCTTGCTGGAGGCGTGGCCTCTGTTGAAGTTTAAAACGATTGGATCTGATTTATCCAATCACTAACGGCTGGCTGCGACGCATGTACGCCAGCTTTACTGTGAAGGAGGCTAAGCTAAGAAGCTAACCAGAAACTGCTCGCGTGCGTTGTAAACAAACATCCTCTACTGAGAGAGAAGTACCGAGCCAAACGAGACGGCTACAAAYAAGTCCTGCAGGCTTYGTCAGACAAATTTTATTTAATTTGGAAGCCTTATCAACAGRCTGGCTTCATTCACTTCCTCCACTGTCATTGCTAAACTACAAGCAGACAYTGCACAGAAAACCAACGTTGTCGTTCAARTCCCTTCCTTCTGTTCTCTGATTGGCCTGAATGAAATTCTCCCGGAGAAATCCTTGTCTATGGGAGAAATCCCAGACAGAGAAGTTAAGTGGAAACTAGAACTGAGCAGAACTGCGTAGGAAGGCGAGGGCCAGGCTAGCCATGTCAGGCAAACACATTAAAATACACATCAAAAGACAGAAAAAATGTTTTGTAGTTTATTAAGTTTTAACCAGTATATACAGAAACACGTGTCCAGACGTGAAGAAATTAAACTTTTTGTAAAAAGTAAAGTTTGGGATGTACATTATGTACATGTAACGCTCATAAAACATACCTGTTACATATACTGTGTATGTTTTAGGATAAAAGGTGGGAAAGTTACACCATAGTATGCTGTTAACTTTCACTTTCTGAAAACATTGGGATGGTGTGAAACACATGTTCTGAAACCTGCAACCTTCCTGCTCTCATGGTGCCTCTCTCGATGTGCCCGAGGCACTAAAGCACACGTGTACCATCAGAGAGGCAGACATTTGAACTRTGCGATGATAACAAGCTGCATGGTCTCTGTTCTCTTTAGTACGAAGGATGGATGTGGCGTCTGTGGTTTCCTAATACAAGTAAGTTTAGATTAGTCCCTGCTCACTCAGCACAGGAGCTGTAGGCTGACTGCTGCTTCACCTGCAGACCGTCTCTGCTGCACCTGGCCTCACAGTACATCAGAAAGCCCYGCCCTGCTCTGCTCTRAYTGGATAAGACTGTGGSTCAGGGGTTCGTTAGATTTGTTGAAAGCTTTGTCAGTTTAATCCGATACCATTAGACTGGGTGGGTTTAACRAGACCGCAACTGAAAACAACCATTTTCCCTCCTCACTTTCACAGATAACTGTAATCTGTCCTGGCCATGGAGAACCTGCTGATTTCTTTGGATGGACCAAAGAGTTGTGTCAAGTGTGTGTGTGTGTGTGTGTGTGTGTGTGTGTGTGTGTGTGTGTGTGTGTGTGTGTGTGTGTGTGNAATGTACACAGTCTTTGCATAGTAGAAACAGTAAAGTGTCACTTATTTTTGTAATTTTTGTTTGGAAAACATTGTGAGGAAAAGTTTCTCATTCAACACTTTCACACATCACATGCCCTTGTGACACCACTTTGAATAAGGGAGATATAATTMAAGTATGGATGATTTTGATTTATTGAAATCAAGTTGGCATACTAAAAGTAACTAATGTCGTAAGACTTACTTAGGGTTTCAGGAGTTCTGATAGGCTTTGCTGTGCCTTCTCCCTTCTTGAACTTGGGAAAGAATAATCTACATGGGCTCTCCAGATGAAGAAGTTGCCTGCAGACGTGCATTTTCATTGAAATGCATTGCAGCCAGGTACAGTCTGGTTAAAATAGCATAAAAGAAAATTACATGTTAGTTTGAAGTTGCACCATTAAAACTCATCTAACACACAGTATTTTGAATAACGAAAAAAAACAAAAAACAAATACAGAGTGACTAAAACAACACTGCAGCCAATATTTTTTGGCCGATTCATGAAGACGATACTACTTTTTCGTCCTCCCTCCATTAACATGATAAAATAAGAATGATAACAAATGTTACACAAGTCTTAATTTAAAACAAAACAAACTAAAAAAAAACATTTATTAACTAAGCCTTGTCTGAAGAGGCTGTATAAAGTGCTGCTACACAGGATTTCTTCTTTCAGCCCTTTCTTAAAAAAAATAAATTCATCACATATTCTATCTAGTGTTAAATATTCTGTTTTTATTTGTATATTAATAAGATTAATATATTTTGTTACATAAAAAGGCTATGCTCCCAGCTTTTGTGATGCAAAAACAGCAACACAGAGAGAAAAAAGGAGACACACATCCATCTTGCTATCCTTATAAGGACTTCACACACACAGCGCTCACAGCTTCTCGGCCTCATTCTGC